TGGCATATAAATCTATTCACTTTTTTTATTTTCTATTGTAAATTTTTAATATTAAACTTTATTAATTAAATATAAAAACATTTTAAATTATTACTTTACTAATGCTCTAACAATATAATTATAAACTATTAATAAAAAATTTTTTTATATAAAGACAAAAAATTGCCCACATTGAGTCATAAGCATCTATAGTGTACAATTTAATAAACAAAACAATTAGTCTTTAGTGATCACTAACCTATAACTTATTTGCTATCTAATCGGAATCAATTTTTTAAAAGTATATGAATTGTGACGCAATCACGTATTTGTGCTAGGGTTAAGAACAAAGAGTTTCAAAATTATCAGATTTTATTAAGTTACACATATTGTCTTAATTATCTTTATTTCACTTTCGATTTCCTTAGTTTTGGCTTATTGTTATCAAGTTGTTGCGGATTATAGGTTGTGGCGGTTGCACTACGTGGCACAATCAGGCTCCGGAACATTCTCCGGAATATTTAATAATTTAACGGTCACAGGAAATAACATATATTCTGCAGATCATTAAAGCAATAGGATTACCGAACGACCTGATTGGCCAAAAAAGTTGATTCCGAATTAGTGTTTCGATCCGAAATCCGACTGTCTGAATTGATAGATAAATTCAGATATTCAGATTAGAGATTTTTATTCGGATTGGTCGAGAAACTTGAATAATGAACCTAAGAGTACACACAAAAGCTGGCTTTATATATAATTCAATCCGGATTTAACAGAATCCGGATGGCCTGTCAAAAATAGGATCGAAACACTATTCCGAATACAGGAATAACGATAATGTAGATTAAAATATATATTATTTATGTGCATGTGATGTTTATTGTTATGTAATACATGTGATTTTTAATTTTTCACTACGTATGCGTCAAAAAAAGCCTAGTTACGACTAGTGATGCAAACAGCCGGCTTTTGACTTATGCTAACCAACCTCGTGCCGAGGTAAGCCATTGCAAATTGAGCTATACCAAGCCAATACTCATAGACGACTGACGCATATTTTTCTAAAGTTTAGCTGATTTAAACTACGAATGAATGATATATTAAATTTTAGATTTTCGAAAAAATTGATTTCTAGCAATAATTATTTTATAGTCACCTTATTTCATAGGCAATTAATTAATTCGCATATAAGTTTATTTTACATAAGACAAGTTCATTTCATAGAAAATCTATTTTATTTCATAGACAATTTATTCATCAATAACTCATTTCACATATAAGTTCTTTTTTATAACTTGCACTAACCGTAAATGTACTTCTGATTTTAATCCTAATAGCAATAACAATTCTTAACCATCGTGTTTAATAGGCAAACTTATTTATTAAAAAATATTAATTTGCTATTTAATTTCATTTTATGTTAATAATTACGGCGTATTTGCATCAATTATTCTAATTCTTCAGTAGTTGGTTGTTTTTGAGATTCAGTGTTTAAAGATTAGCCAGCTATTATAATGAATTCAGTTATAAGAGATTAAAGCGATGATAGATTTATAGAAACACCGAATAATTAGTGATTTTGAGGAGGTAAAAATGATAGCAAAATTCCTTGTAAAATATTGAATTAATTTTTTTAAATTTTAGTAAAAATCACTTGACATTAAAAAGTATTAGTAAATGTCACAGATGATGCTGAAAATAAAAAATCTTATCCGTCATATTTAATTAGAAAATATATAAAAACAAATGAATAGAATTATAAGCCAATAGAAAAAACATATAAACGTGACAACCCTGATTCTTTGATTATTTGCTAAATTTGCAGATCACCCTAATCCTATAATGTTGTAAGTGGACACGGAATTTAAGTGAATTCGGAATTTATATATGTTGTGCCTCAGACTAACGATCACAGCTGACGTTAGGGTGTCCAGGATTATGCGATGCGGCGTTATGCGCATAATCAACCATTTTTTCGCATCGCATATGCTTCGCATA